TTCCTGAAAGCTTGGATCCTCAGCAGCCATGGAAGCTTGGTTTCATATTTTCAAAACAAAGTTAGGGCTATGAAAATCCTCATATTTGCATGTGTAAGAGAGAGACACTGATTTAGTTGTAGAACATGTTCAACTTAAACCATGTTCATCTAATAATTAAGTCAAAAAACTAATACACGCAGACTGTCTGTGGAGGTTGAGATTTCTGGTAAACAAAGACATGTGTTAGTTATTGCAAGATGTCAACGCACATTAATGTGTGTTCAAAACAAGTATTTACAGCTTTATTTTAGCAAAACAAGCAACATGTAATGTAATATGACAAATATGATATTATATAATATGAATATATTGTGGAGTTGGTTTAACCTGACTTTCTGTGTGTTTATTGTCTCACAAACACCATCGTTTAGTCAACGTTTCAATAACATCTCTGTGCAAAGGTCGCAGGGTCCCCACATTTTGCAAGCGGGTTCCACAGACGTTAAGCAACACACTCTCAAAGTTTCAGAGCGCCAACCACATTTTTTCAATTTTTTTCAATTTCCTCCTCTTTCCTCACCACAAGGGTGTCAGATTCTTAGCTCCAGACAGCATTATTTGAGAAAGTTTGACATTTTATTGAAAAAAAAGTTCTGGGTAGGTTAGGGTTCCCATATTTCAGATTCCTGATCTGGGCCCCATTTAGAGGGGCCCTGTGAAAAAATTATCTCTTTAGCCCTTTTCAAAGTACTTTAAACACTCATGCAGCACTGCAGCTTCTCAAAAGGCCTTAACGGAAGGTTTTGTTACATTTTAAGCCGTAATGTTTGACATTTAGTTGCAGCAGAGGCTTCCATTTGCATCTGCTCTCCGAGACGGTTAAAATGACATCAAGCTCAAAGCGGTCGGACCTTCCTTTGTGCTGTCAAGGGCACCGTACGGCATGGAAGCGTGACCTTTGACCTTTGGAGCTTTGTTACATTTCAAGCCGTAACCTTTGATATTAGGAGCAGCAGAGGCATCAATCTGCATGTACTTTTCGAGCCGGTTCTAATGAGAGCAAGCTCAAAGCGGTCGGACCTTCCTTTGCGCCGTCGAGGGTACTGTCGGCATTGCGAATGTGACCTCTGACCTCCGTTTTTACCTTGTCGAAGGTCGCAGGGTCCCCACATTTTGCAAGCGGGTTCCACAGACGTTAAGCAACAGACTCTGAAAGTTTCGGAGCGCCAACCACATTTTTTCAATTTTTTTCAATTTCCTCCTCTTTCCTCACCACAAGGGTGTCAGATGCTAAGCTCCAGACAGCATTATTTGAGAAAGTTTGACATTTTATTGAAAAAAAAGTTCTGGGTAGGTTAGGGTTCCCATCTTTCAGATTCCTGATCTGGGCCCTATTTAGAGGGGCCCTGTGAAAAAATGATCTCTTTAGCCCTTTTCAAAGTACTTTAAACACTCATGCAGCACTGCAGCTTCTCAAAAGGCCTTAACGGAAGGTTTTGTTACATTTTAAGCCGTAACGTTTGACATTTAGTTGCAGCAGAGGCTTCCATTTGCATCTGCTCTCCGAGACGGTTAAAATGACATCAAGCTCAAAGCGGTCGGACCTTCCTTTGTGCTGTCAAGGGCACCGTACGGCATGGAAGCGTGACCTTTGACCTTTGGAGCTTTGTTACATTTCAAGCCGTAACCTTTGATATTAGGAGCAGCAGAGGCATCAATCTGCATGTACTTTTCGAGCCGGTTCTAATGAGAGCAAGCTCAAAGCGGTCGGACCTTCCTTTGCGCCGTCGAGGGTACTGTCGGCATTGCGAATGTGACCTCTGACCTCCGTTTTTACCTTGTCGAAGGTCGCAGGGTCCCCACATTTTGCAAGCGGGTTCCACAGACGTTAAGCAACAGACTCTGAAAGTTTCGGAGCGCCAACCACATTTTTTCAATTTTTTTCAATTTCCTCCTCTTTCCTCACCACAAGGGTGTCAGATGCTAAGCTCCAGACAGCATTATTTGAGAAAGTTTGACATTTTATTGAAAAAAAAGTTCTGGGTAGGTTAGGGTTCCCATCTTTCAGATTCCTGATCTGGGCCCTATTTAGAGGGGCCCTGTGAAAAAATGATCTCTTTAGCCCTTTTCAAAGTACTTTAAACACTCATGCAGCACTGCAGCTTCTCAAAAGGCCTTAACGGAAGGTTTTGTTACATTTTAAGCCGTAACGTTTGACATTTAGTTGCAGCAGAGGCTTCCATTTGCATCTGCTCTCCGAGACGGTTAAAATGACATCAAGCTCAAAGCGGTCGGACCTTCCTTTGTGCTGTCAAGGGCACCGTACGGCATGGAAGCGTGACCTTTGACCTTTGGAGCTTTGTTACATTTCAAGCCGTAACCTTTGATATTAGGAACAGCAGAGGCATCAATCTGCATGTACTTTTCGAGCCGGTTCTAATGAGAGCAAGCTCAAAGCGGTCGGACCTTCCTTTGCGCCGTCGAGGGTACTGTCGGCATTGCGAATGTGACCTCTGACCTCCGTTTTTACCTTGTCGAAGGTCGCAGGGTCCCCACATTTTGCAAGCGGGTTCCACAGACGTTAAGCAACAGACTCTGAAAGTTTCGGAGCGCCAACCACATTTTTTCAATTTTTTTCAATTTCCTCCTCTTTCCTCACCACAAGGGTGTCAGATGCTAAGCTCCAGACAGCATTATTTGAGAAAGTTTGACATTTTATTGAAAAAAAAGTTCTGGGTAGGTTAGGGTTCCCATCTTTCAGATTCCTGATCTGGGCCCTATTTAGAGGGGCCCTGTGAAAAAATGATCTCTTTAGCCCTTTTCAAAGTACTTTAAACACTCATGCAGCACTGCAGCTTCTCAAAAGGCCTTAACGGAAGGTTTTGTTACATTTTAAGCCGTAACGTTTGACATTTAGTTGCAGCAGAGGCTTCCATTTGCATCTGCTCTCCGAGACGGTTAAAATGACATCAAGCTCAAAGCGGTCGGACCTTCCTTTGTGCTGTCAAGGGCACCGTACGGCATGGAAGCGTGACCTTTGACCTTTGGAGCTTTGTTACATTTCAAGCCGTAACCTTTGATATTAGGAACAGCAGAGGCATCAATCTGCATGTACTTTTCGAGCCGGTTCTAATGAGAGCAAGCTCAAAGCGGTCGGACCTTCCTTTGCGCCGTCGAGGGTACTGTCGGCATTGCGAATGTGACCTCTGACCTCCGTTTTTACCTTGTCGAAGGTCGCAGGGTCCCCACATTTTGCAAGCGGGTTCCACAGACGTTAAGCAACAGACTCTGAAAGTTTCGGAGCGCCAACCACATTTTTTCAATTTTTTTCAATTTCCTCCTCTTTCCTCACCACAAGGGTGTAAGATGCTAAGCTCCAGACAGCATTATTTGAGAAAGTTTGACATTTTATTGAAAAAAAAGTTCTGGGTAGGTTAGGGTTCCCATCTTTCAGATTCCTGATCTGGGCCCTATTTAGAGGGGCCCTGTGAAAAAATGATCTCTTTAGCCCTTTTCAAAGTACTTTAAACACTCATGCAGCACTGCAGCTTCTCAAAAGGCCTTAACGGAAGGTTTTGTTACATTTTAAGCCGTAACGTTTGACATTTAGTTGCAGCAGAGGCTTCCATTTGCATCTGCTCTCCGAGATGGTTAAAATGACATCAAGCTCAAAGCGGTCGGACCTTCCTTTGTGCTGTCAAGGGCACCGTACGGCATGGAAGCGTGACCTTTGACCTTTGGAGCTTTGTTACATTTCAAGCCGTAACCTTTGATATTAGGAGCAGCAGAGGCATCAATCTGCATGTACTTTTCGAGCCGGTTCTAATGAGAGCAAGCTCAAAGCGGTCGGACCTTCCTTTGCGCCGTCAAGGGTACTGTCGGCATTGCGAATGTGACCTCTGACCTCCGTTTTGACCTTGTCGAAGGTCGCAGGGTCCCCATATTTTGCAAGCGGGTTCCACAGACGTTAAGCAACACACTCTGAAAGTTTCGGAGCGCCAAACACATTTTTTCATTTTTTTCAATTTCCTCCTCTTCCCTCACCACAAGGGTGTCAGATGCTAAGATCCAGACAGCATTATGTGAGAAAGTTTGACATTTTATTGAAAAAAAACAATACATAGTAGTTCAATTGTTAACTCCCAACAAATGTAATTTGCTATACATTTGAACAAATATTACGTAAAATCAGACATGTTATTGTGAAGACCATAACATGGAGGCACTTTTAACCAATGCACATAAATGTTTGATTGTTGAATGTTATACATTATGAAGGTTAAAAGGGAAATGAAGCAACAGATGAATACAAATACTTTCAAAACACAGTTTTTGCACAATTCACAGCATAAATTAGACCGAGGCAAATGTGACACATGTGTTACTACAGAGATTTCATGAATATCATGAAAGTGCATACATTTTAAATGTGAATTTCTATTTTTAAGATTAAAAAGTTGAAATTAATCTTCATCACAACCATTGTCATATCCACAAAGTCTAAAGTAGACAAAACCACGTGACACAAAACGTGTGGTGTAATCAGACCAGGATGTAGTAACAACAGTCAAATAAGTCGACATTTGGCCTTATGAAGGTTAATGGGTCAGAAAAGACAAAATTAGAAAGTCCAATTTTCAACTCCTATTTTTAACCCCTCATATGACCATATCACACAGGTGTCACATTTGACTGTACAAGTTTTGACAAGGACAAAGCATTACATAATCTGAAGACAGACATTCAACATTATGAAGGTTAATGGGTTGAAAAAGACAAAATTGTAAGGTCCAATGTTCAACCCATAATTTTAACCCTTAGCTTGACCAATTCAAACATGTGTCATACATCAGCACACTTACTGTACAAGTTATGAAAATGAAATGCCAACATATAAGCTGAAGACTAAGACATTGAGATACAAAATGCAATGAAAAACAAAAAAATGGGACAACACACCTGTGGTCACTTTCAGCACACATGTGTCCAAATCCAACACACGCGTGTCTCGAGTCAACCTCTTTCGGTTACGTTTAATCCTCTGCTGCAGCATGCAGCGCAGGGATTTCACCTCAGCAGCATATATGTCCCTCTGAGCCTTCATTCTGTTTGCATCCATCCTCCATTCCTTACAGTCCGGGTTGTCACATTTAATCACTGGGGACAAGGGTGGAGGTTGTGACAGGACATCATCACCCACAGTGTCCACATCCCAAGAGGTAATCATTGCTACTGTGGGGTTTGTCAAACTGAGTTCATGAAGCTTCTTCGTGGCCACTTTCATTTTTAGTTTAGTTAAAACCACATGTAATTCCTGCCGGGACAGCTCAACATGGTTTCTGTACAAGTGGCGGTCCAGCCTTGTCCCGTTGTACTCGCATCCTGCAATAATGCAGGGATGGAGCCTAATGTTTATCCGTCCTTTCGCCAACAACAGCAGAATTCTTCTTTCAACTAAATTACGCACACTATGGTTCCTCAGCAGGTGCTTGCTCAGGGCACGGTAGGGACTATTACAGATAGGACAACCGATCGCCATCATTTTTGTATGCCTGAGCATTTCGGTACCGGGAAGTGTCACCAGTATAATGTATAGAACCGGGGGGGACAAAGAAGGATAGGTGAAAATAAGAAAGTTGCACTCAGCGAACTAGAAAGACCCCATGTCAAATCTCTCCGGTTTATTTTCAATAAATAACCCATTTGCATCATCGTGCGAAAGGTGTCTACTTTAGGCACTCGTTAGGCGGGCAGAGATCCCTGTCATCTATCGGTCCTATCATCCAGGCAAGGCGGGAGCCAAAACTGGGTGAAATAGTGCCTCCTAAGGCGGGTCGAGTCCCCTGGCAACTCCCCTTACTTTCTTCCGGAGACCAGTTCAAAACGTTAAGTTTGGTAAGAACCATGATTGGGGGTCATCCAGGCAACAATTGTATCCGATCCAAAGTCCTCATGCAGCGGATGCATTCTTCCATGATCCAGAGACGGATGCAACCAGAGAACCAGAGAAAGAGGTTAAAATGGATAAAATGTATCCGGGAATAGTGCCTCCTAAGGCGGGTCGAGTCCCCTGACAACTCACCCTACATTCCTCCAGAGTCAGAAAAAGTTAAAGTTAACTTTTGGAAGAACCAGATAAAGGGGTGAAATTGGTGAAAATGTGTCCGGAAATAGTGCCTCATAATGCAGGTAGAGTCCCCTGGCAACTCCCCTTGCATTCCTCCAGAGTCAGAAAAAGTTAAAGTTAACTTTTGGAAGAACCAGAGAAAGGGGTTAAAATGGATCAAATGGATCCCAAAATAGTGCCTCCTAAGGCGGGTCGAGTCCCCTGACAACTCACCCTACATTCCTCCAGAGTCAGAAAAAGTTAAAGTTAACTTTTGGAAGAACCAGAGAAAGGGGTTAAAATGGATAAAATGTATCCGGGAATAGTGCCTCCTAAGGCGGGTCGAGTCCCCTGACAACTCACCCTACATTCCTCCAGAGTCAGAAAAAGTTAAAGTTAACTTTTGGAAGAACCAGAGAAAGGGGTTAAAATGGATCAAATGGATCCCAAAATAGTGCCTCCTAAGGCGGGTCGAGTCCCCTGACAACTCACCCTACATTCCTCCAGAGTCAGAAAAAGTTAAAGTTAACTTTTGGAAGAACCAGAGAAAGGGGTTAAAATGGATAAAATGTATCCGGGAATAGTGCCTCCTAAGGCGGGTCGAGTCCCCTGACAACTCACCCTACATTCCTCCAGAGTCAGAAAAAGTTAAAGTTAACTTTTGGAAGAACCAGAGAAAGGGGTGAAATTGGTGAACATGTGTCCGGAAATAGTGCCTCATAATGCAGGTAGAGTCCCCTGGCAACTCCCCTTGCATTCCTCCAGAGTCAGAAAAAGTTAAAGTTAACTTTTGGAAGAACCAGAGAAAGGGGTGAAATTGGTGAAAATGTGTCCGGAAATAGTGCCTCATAATGCAGGTAGAGTCCCCTGGCAACTCCCCTTGCATTCCTCCAGAGTCAGAAAAAGTTAAAGTTAACTTTTGGAAGAACCGCAGAAAAGGGGTGAAAATGGTGAAAATGTGTCCGGGAATAGTGCCTCATAATGCAGGTAGAGTCCCCTGGCAACTCCCCTTGCATTCCTCCAGAGTCAGAAAAAGTTAAAGTTAACTTTTGGAAGAACCGCAGAAAAGGGGTGAAAATGGTGAAAATGTGTCCGGGAATAGTGCCTCATAATGCAGGTAGAGTCCCCTGGCAACTCCCCTTGCATTCCTCCAGAGGCAAAATAAGTTAAAGTTAACTTTTGGAAGAACCAGAGAAAGGGGTTAAAATGGTGAAAATGTGTCCGAAAATAGTGTCTCGTTATTCCGTCGAAACTCCCCTTGCATTCCTCCAGAGGCCAGTTCAAAAACTTAAAGTTTTGTAAGAACCGTGATTGGGGGTCCTCCGGGCAACAATTGTATCCGATCCAAAGTGCTCACTCATCGGACGCATTCCTCCATGATTTCCCCATCATGAGAAATAGGCCGTTTTTTTCTAAGTGCTCTCAAAAACCGGGTTTCCGATTTCGTGCAGAAGGTAGCTTGGAAAAGATGAATGAAAATTGTTAACGGAGGAGGGGAGGTCTGAATTCCCCTCTACGTTGAAAAGTGCAACGGGTCAGTGGAAATGTCTCCGGGGCTTCCACCCGAAGCGCCGAAGGGTTGACCCCCTCACCCGTTGGCACTTTTTTCGAGAATTTTTAAAAACGTAGTTTTTGATGAATTTAAGATATAATTGACCGTTTTATTTACTTTTTTTTGCTTTCCACGGGTGGGGGTGCACGGCAGGCCGCATATGAGCTCCCAAATTCGGCCCGGAACCTACGGGAATTGGGTCCATTTCATCCACATGTGACTCCCCCATCAAATGTACATGAAATGGACACGAGGAAATGTACATGAAATGGACACGAGGAAATGTACATGAAATGGACACCAGGAAATGTACATGAAATGGACACCAGGAGAGAAGAACCAGGGGTCAACATGGATACAGTTTACCCCGAAATAGTGTCTCTTAAGGCGGGTAACAGTCATGGCAACATGTCCAGACCCTGACTGGACTTAAGCCGATTTTCATTGGAACTCCACATTGCATTCTTCCAGGGACACCAACATACATCCAGGGTACAAGGATGAAGAACCAGGGGTCAACATGGATACAGTTTACCCCGAAATAGTGTCTCTTTAGCAGGGTAACAGTCATGGCAACATGTCCAGACCCTGACTGGACTTAAGCCGATTTGCATTGGAACTCCACATTGCATTCTTCCAGGGACACCAACATACATCCAGGGTATAAGGATGAAGAACCAGTGGGCAACATGGATACAGTTTACCCCGAAATAGTGTCTCTTTAGCAGGGTAACAGTCATGGCAACATGTCCAGACCCTGACTGGACTTAAGCCGATTTTCATTGGAACTCCACATTGCATTCTTCCAGGGACACCAACATACATCCAGGGTATAAGGATGAAGAACCAGGGGGCAACATGGATACAGTTTACCCCGAAATAGTGTCTCTTTAGCAGGGTAACAGTCATGGCAACATGTCCAGACCCTGACTGGACTTAAGCCGATTTGCATTGGAACTCCACATTGCATTCTTCCAGGCCCATCTACATGCATCCAGGGTACAAGGAACAAGAACCAGGGGTCAACATGGATACAGTTTACCCCGAAATAGTGTCTCTTTAGCAGGGTAACAGTCATGGCAACATGTCCAGACCCTGACTGGACTTAAGCCGATTTGCATTGGAACTCCACATTGCATTCTTCCAGGCCCATCTACATGCATCCAGGGTACAAGGAACAAGAACCAGGGGTCAACATGGATACAGTTTACCCCGAAATAGTGTCTCTTAAGGCGGGTACCAGTCATGGCAACATGTCCAGACCCTGACTGGACTTAAGCCGATTTTCATTGGAACTCCACATTGCATTCTTCCAGGGACACCAACATACATCCAGGGTATAAGGATGAAGAACCAGGGTGGCAACATGGATACAGTTTACCCCGAAATAGTGTCTCTTTAGCAGGGTAACAGTCATGGCAACATGTCCAGACCCTGACTGGACTTAAGCCGATTCGCATTGGAACTCCACATTGCATTCTTCCAGGCCCATCTACATGCATCCAGGGTACAAGGAACAAGAACCAGGGGTCAACATGGATACAGTTTACCCCGAAATAGTGTCTCTTTAGCAGGGTAACAGTCATGGCAACATGTCCAGACCCTGACTGGACTTAAGCCGATTTGCATTGGAACTCCACATTGCATTCTTCCAGGCCCATCTACATGCATCCAGGGTACAAGGAACAAGAACCAGGGGTCAACATGGATACAGTTTACCCCGAAATAGTGTCTCTTAAGGCGGGTACCAGTCATGGCAACATGTCCAGACCCTGACTGGACTTAAGCCGATTTGCATTGGAACTCCACATTGCATTCTTCCAGGCCCATCTACATGCATCCAGGGTACAAGGAACAAGAACCAGGGGTCAACATGGATACAGTTTACCCCGAAATAGTGTCTCTTAAGGCGGGTAACAGTCATGGCAACATGTCCAGACCCTGACTGGACTTAAGCCGATTTGCATTGGAACTCCACATTGCATTCTTCCAGGCCCATCTACATGCATCCAGGGTACAAGGAACAAGAACCAGGGGTCAACATGGATACAGTTTACCCCGAAATAGTGTCTCTTTAGCAGGGTAACAGTCATGGCAACATGTCCAGACCCTGACTGGACTTAAGCCGATTTGCATTGGAACTCCACATTGCATTCTTCCAGGGACACCAACATACATCCAGGGTATAAGGATGAAGAACCAGGGGTCAACATGGATACAGTTTACCCCGAAATAGTGTATCTTTAGCAGGGTACCAGTCATGGGAACATGGGGTGATGTATATGGGCACTTGAGCACCAGCAAGACCCCCACCTCCATAACCTTGTGCACCAGGTGAACATGTGTACCCACACTTAAGCACTCCCCCACGGACTAAACCAAGAGGGAACACCGGTCAGAAGTTCGTACCCCTGGTAACACTGAATAACAACAAAATAGAACCCCCAAGGGTTTTATGTGTGTAGGCATAGTTGGTAACATTTGTCTTGCCCTTGGCAGGGAATTTGCATTGGTAGTTGACATCACATTTACATTGTGCGGACTTCAGTACATTTTAAGGAAAAGTCCCATGTTAACTATGTCCATAAGACAGACATGTTCCTTACATGGCTTTGTATATAAAAATGTACCAGTGACTGAGCCTCCATACAGTTAGCGAAGGCAAACCAGCCCTTGCATACAGAGTACAGTGATGGGTTAATGCTTTACAGTTTGTCACAAATCTCAGTGCAATGTGATACGCAGCATCTAACTTGACCAGGCAATTGGCAGGTGCATTCATATAAATCAAATCACCATAGTCCAGCACAGGTAAAAAGGTCACAGTGACTAGCCTTTTCCTGGCCTCAAGCGAGAAACAGGACTTCTTGTAGAAGAAACCTAGCCTAACCCTCAGTTTTTTAAGCAGGTTATTGACATGACGTTTAAAAGTGAGACAATCATCAAGCCAGATACCAAGGTATTTGTAACAGGTAACCACTTCAATTTGTATTCCTTGCGTAGTTACAATATCTAAAACAGGCTCTGGTGTCTTTTTAGCTTTTGAAAAGAGCATTACCTTGGTTTTATTAACATTTAAAATAATCTTTAGTTCAGATAGCTGTGTCTGCATAATGTTAAAAACAGCTTGCAATTCAACAACAGCCTCCTTAACCCTCTCAGACCCACGGGGCCGTATACGATCCCAAATATCACGTTGTGTTCAAAGCGTCATAACTTCTCAGCTGTTTGAGCCAGAGACATGCCGTGTTTTTCCTCTTCAACTACAGAAACGGCACTAAACGACTCTATTCAGTTTTTCATTGAGAGGCGTTTACTTATTGCGGTGAAATGAATGCGTAAAGTTGTATATGCTGCGGATGGTCTCACCTTGATTCTGGCGCATCGCTCATCATTTATAGATCTATTCTCATCCACTATCTTTGTTTCTGACATAA